CGGCCTTAATTTATTATTTAAATTAATAACAAAATTAAGTTGTATAGTGACTGATTTACTAGAGTACAGTAATGCCAAGCAGTCTTTATAAAAACCTTGACAAACATAATGCAAAAACAATAGAAAAATAAAAAAACATTTTTCCCATTAAGTTTTAGTATTTTTTTTCCCCTGCTTAGGGTCGTCTCTTTTATACATGTGATGGACCCAAAGCTGATCAATGTAAATTTTTTAAATGGCTTGAGGAAGCAACTCCAGGATATTTAACACAGGAAGAATCTCTCCCTAGCATGGTTTTAAGTGATATTAAGAATATTGGCTTGTACTTAAGAAGTCAAAAGATACCGCTCTATGAGGAATGCCAGCTTTTGGTGAGGTATGTTTTATGATACCAAATAATTGCCTGTAATTATATCAGAGAATGGCAACTTTCTAAATTATTACCAGTTTTAAAAGATATTAAGATAAGAAAAGTATCTAAAAGATAGAGTACCTCCTTTTCCATAACTATAAAATTGGTATAAGTTTTTAAAGTTATTTTGGCTCCCTCTAAATATCAAGCAGTATAAGCAATATAAGGATGACTGGGCAGGATGCTATTTTTCTAACCATTTTTATGTTTAGTCAGGGCTATTCATCATAATCCTAAGGAAAGCCCTGTTGAACAAGCTACAGGAATCATTTTTAGCAGTGCAGGATGATAGGGAGGCGATCATTCACAAGCCTGAACTACAAAGCTTATAGGATAATAGAATGCTACTTTTTAGAAATGTCTTTTATAAAAGTGAAATTACTCAAAAAGTAAATATAATGACCATTTGGACAGTAATTTAATAATAAGATTGATTGGTTACTTATATATGCCAGGCACTCTTCTAAGCACTTTACATGTGTTATTTCATTTAATCATAACAATAACCTATAAAATGTGGAGATAATGAGGATAAGTTACTGTACCTATTTTATAGTTGTAGAAAATGAGGTTCCTCAAAAAACTGAGAATAGAGCTACCATGTGATCCAGCAATCCATCCCACTGCTGGGTATATATCCAAATGAAAAGCTATATGGAAGATATTTCTTCCATATGTCAAAGAGATATCTGTACTACCATGTTTATTGTAGCACTATTCACAATAGGCAAGATACGGAATCAACCTAAGTGTCCATCAGTAGATGAATGGATAAAGAAAGTGTGGAATGGAGATACACACACACACACACACACACACACACACACACACACACA